TTTAATTTTTTACACAAGTACCATTTTTGTTTATTTCTCTGTATTGTAACTGTTTGTTTGTATTAATTGAATAAAAAAATATTTCATTGCGAGAACGGTTTTAATTATCTAACAGAGCACAATAAACCTTGTATAAAGTTTTAAACTAAAACATGGCAACATTTAAATGCGAGAATGAGCATAATTGCAGGTTAGCTAGGATAATCCTAGCTTCCGGGGCAGAGGCTGACTGCTACCGGACGCGTCCCCCGGGTGGCGGATAGGGGAAGCCACTCGCGACTGTTCCCCCAGACAGGAGCTTGTGGTACCGGAGCAATCCGGCGCGGACCAACAGCCAGGAGGGGCAGGGGGAGCGGTGTCAGGAGGGCGCCGTCTCCTTCTTGGAGGTAGCGCGGTGTCTCCGGCCGTTTCGCGGTAGGAGGCGCTGCGCGGGCCGTGCTGCCGGGGCTAGCCCGTCGGTGCGGCGGCTGGAGCGGGGCCAGTTCGGTGGTCCTGCGTCTGGCGTGGGTGTCGGCAGCCATCTTGGTCCGGAGGTGGGCCGACGGTAGGGGGGCCGCGGGGGAAGAGGAGTGTCGGTATAGCGATGCGCCGCTCGTCCCTATCTCCCGCGGCCTAGCGGGGCCACCACCGTTGATGGTGGACGCGGTGGGGCTGTAGGGGAAGGGGAGTGTCGGCGTTGTCGCATCCTCTACTCCTGCAGCCGTTTGGGGTGGTTCGGTTTCGGACGCCGTGGAGGTTTGCCCAATTTGGGCGGGAAGGTTTTGTTTTTGCAGGTTGCCCACTTCGGTGGGCGGTGTTTGGTTGTGTGGGGCTGCTCCGGGTACTTCTCTGTTCAGCAGAGTGGACTTGGGAGCAGCCTCACTTCGCAGGGTTGCAAGTCTTCCCATAATGGGGTCGTCCCGCTTGGGGCGGCCTCATGGTTGGTGGCTTCGGCCAACCGTCGGGGCGTCACGGTTGTATGCGAAAGCGGTCCCGTGGCGTCCCACATGGCGGCTGTGGGGAAAGTTGGGTTTTAGTGGGTATGCCGGTCTCATTAGCCGGAGAGTCTCCACATAACCACCCTGGGGGGAAGTCGGGTGGTATCCGTAATAGGATTTCCCAACTATATAAAAAAAAAAAAAAAAAAAAAAAAAAAAAAAAAAAAAAAAAAAAAAAAAAAAAAAAAAAAAAAAAAAAAAAAAAAAAAAAAAAAAAAAAAAAAAAAAAAAAAAAAAAAAAAAAAAAAAAAAGGATAATCCTAGCTTGGAAAACACAATAGAACTGTCCGTCGACTACCGCCTAAACTAGCATTAGCTTGTTTGCAACAATAATGCAAAGGCGCTTTTCACGCTTGCGTTAAACATTTACATAAAAACATAAAATATCTATTTTAGAAGAAATTTTATTTGATTAATCGTTAGAGCATTTGTTAATGATTGTATATATTCTGGATTCACTATATTTTTCATTTTTCGAAGTGATGGATCATAGCTATGAAATGATCCTATAGATAGCGCTCTGGACAAGTTAATAACTGATTCCACATTGATAGAAAATAATTATTTTTTTCAAAAAAAAAATGTACGACTAAAAAGAAATTCCCAAAATTTGGACACGATAGGTGGCACAACACACAACAAAAGAATTTTTAATAATCATCTCGCAGCCTACCGAGAAGAGCATCTATTGGGGTCAGCTAGTGATTTCAAAAAAAAAGGCTAAAATAATAGCATTTGTATATGATAATCGTCATGGCATTTTCAGAATCGGTTTAATATATCTGTAGTAATATTATAAATGTGAAAGTTTAGATGTTTGAATTTTGTCAATCACGCCAGAACGGCTGAACATAGAAATGACAAATTTTTCATCTTTACAATAATCTATAAGGCAAAATAAACCTGCCAAAAGACGCACATTATTACAACGTAGCGACAAGTAATCGAAATGAATCAATACCATTTTCTCCTGTCTTAGAAAAAGCTCAAGGATATACATACATACATATTACACTAGAATAATATCCATGATCAACCAGAGAGAAAACCAAACACATAAGTGATATGTAGTACCTATATTCATATAAAATAAAACATTATCAACAAGCAACACTAACCTCGGTCGAACAATTATAATATCACGTTAACTTAGTTTAAAACAAGTTAGTTTAGATAACGTTAGATAGTTAACAAACGCTTTCTGCAATCTCTTCCCGCTGCCTAATTATTGCTGCGGACTAATTAAATCTATCTATAGTTACTAATAAATAAAGCTGAAGTGTTTGTTTGTTTGAAGACGCTAACTAATCTTTAGATTGATTAGTCCGATTTAACAAAATATTTTTGCGTTAATATATCTAATTTTTAGGAAGGCTATCTTTTTTTAGACTGCCTTAGAACAAACTACAACCTACTAGAGCGGAGATTTTTTTTTTTTTGATAGATAAAGAAGCGAACGATCGACCTGATGATAAGTGGCTATAGTCGCTCATAGACATCTGTAACATGAGAGGACTTGCGAATGCATTGCCAGCTTTCAAGGGACCTAAAAACACGTTTCTTAAAGAGCCCCATATTATAAAGCTTAAGTAAAACCTCAAAAGGAGAATCATTCCAAAATTTGCATTTGCGAAGTAGAAATGAACATGATGCACTTATATTTGTGGAATGCCGAGCGTCTAGGATGTATGGACGGCATCCGACCAGACTGTGAAGAATGCGATAATAAAAAAGCAATGATGACACCAGATCAAAATTTTGGCTTTTGGCGAGAGGGCGAAGTAGCGAAAATACGCTAGCATATAATTCAACCACGTAACAAGATATTGACGTGCATGAGTATTAGTCGATAGCGAAAACTAGACGTCTACCAGTTAAATGAGAAAAAAGTTTCATATTTCCCTTCAACGTAATGTAAAGTGATCACAAACTGGACAGTGACATGAGCTACTTTCATCTCGTAGTCTATTGGAAGTTACTTTGAAACACAATGTATCTACTTATATTTTTAACAAGCTAATGTTATCTAATTTATATAAATAAAAACTAAATGATGTTCGTTATGATAATCTGAATATGTTATAAAAAGTATAAAAATAAATACCGAAAAATTGGGAAAGACCTAAAAAAAAGTTCTTTTTAACTATTTGATTTTTGTATGAATTCGACAACTGAAACAATTTTATCAAATATTGGACAAAGTCAATGTCTATTAGGTCAACTCAATAACTCCAATTAATTATTAAAACTAGGTACCTAATAAAAAGAATATAAAAGAACTAGTGATACATCCTGGTTATGCTCGGGTTCGTGCCAATGGACACAGAGGTATACTTTTATCACTATAATCAACCCAAAAACTCCAACTATACATAATGACTATCCATACAGAAAGTAATTTCGTCGCTCTGTTTCGACGTGAAAGAAGGACAAACTGACAAGCAAATAAACAAACATACTTTCACAATGTAGTATGCATTATTAAAATTCAACAAGCAAAAGAGGAAATGTGTATAGTTTCTACAATTAATACATAGAGATAAGTAAGTTAGTTGATATAGTTGATATAACGGGCTTCGCAAGCGAGCTTCCTCGTAAAGGAGAATATTTAATTACTTAAGATTCCGTCACTCATCTTATTTTAACATTCACTTGAGTTGATTATACGACGCTGCACATTTTATGTTATAAATGTAAAAGATTGGATGTTTATTTTGCTATATAAAAGGAAATTTACTGCAAGATTTAATTAAAAATAAAATAAAAGTAAAAACGGGAATAAGAAATTAGAAAAATATAATAAGCAACTCAACGTAGCAAACGAGCTCTTTACTGAAAAAGTCAGCCGGAAAATTCAATCTGTAAGTAACGATTGTATTTGCAATCGTAACTATTGAAATATACTAATATCTGTAACATATTCAAATTATATGATATATGGATGAGATAGAAAATAAGATTACATAAATAAATACTGTTCAACAAAAAAAGGTCTGTAGGTCTTTAAAATTATATAGGTATAACGTGATTCATAAAAAAACCAAATATGAAAATCGATTCACACTAATCGAAGACATCGTGTAACATACACAAAAACAGTCTTACTGAAGTCGATCAAATAAGCTATGAAAAGAAATGTCTACCTACTTTTCAAAGTAGATTCACTAATGTGTCCTAAGCCTAAAATACCTAATGCTCACAGGAGTGTCAAACCGAGCGACATAATTCGAAGATTCTGACACGGTCTGAATACAGGCACTATTGAAATGCAGGCATTCAATAGCTAATGCCTACGCTAGTTCATTGTAGCTGGAAAATTCAAATTATAATATTAAATCATGCAGCTGTGACCTCAGAATTTTGCAAGGTAAAATGTGTTGTAGATGACAAAACATCCTTTCCTACTTTATTAAATTGGATATTTATTCAAGTTTCAACGTTTAGTAAAGATTTCTCAGAGATGAGATATTTCCCCGTAGTAAAAAGTATCCTATATGTTGACCCGGATAACCAGCTACCATCATACCAAATTTCATCAAAATCCCTCCACTCGTGTTCCGTAATACGGTAACAGACAGACAAAAATTCTAAAAACAATAGATACGGCCTCTGTATCGATAATAATGTTTATTTCAATAAGATTTTCCCAAAAATATTTAAGGTACAGATTCGGATTAGTTACAATTTTATTATATGTATAGATATTTTCAATATATCATGGCACGAATAACTGCAATCTATCAACTTTTTTTCTTGGTTAAAAAAACAGTAAGAAAACAACATACAAATCTATTTGTTTACGAAGTTACCCATCATAAAGAGCTTCATAAAAGTTTCTAAACTTGTTAATTAGCTATATAAAAAAAATTTAAATACATCCTTGACAAGTTAAACCATAAATAGTAAAGTACACATGTAAACTATTTTTAGATCACATCTGTCTGTGTAAAAACAAATGCAGTCAGGTGCAGGTCAACGTAGTTCTTGTCCCATTTTAAGAGAAGAAAGAAAAATAAAACTTACCGATACAAAGTTCCCGAATGTATTTTCTTCACGCCGTCCATCTCTGTGGTTTTGTTATCATGTCTAAACTACGCTTAATAGCTAAATTTATTAAAAATTAAAGTCATCATGAGCCCACAATAATACTGCGGTCGACGGCACCTGAAACAATATTAAATTTTTGGTTACTTATACTTGAAATTCACTTAAAAAGTATAATTAGGCATCGCATCGTGCAATATATATAAATTTAAGTTTGGAGGATTCTTTGCAAAATAACCGCTGCACTATAAATTCAGAGCGTCGGTTTTCAGTTATAACGTTCCTGTCATTTGAATACTAGTTTCTCCCTATAGTTCCTTTTTCCTTCACACTCTTTTTTTTAATTTAATTGATATCTGCCAGAAAAATGAGACCTATGTTACATAATATGAAGCTGCAGCTCATAGCGAGATCGACTATTATTTTAGATGTATCTATCGATTATAATTGACGTGATCGACATACAACAAAACCTATATATTTTTTTAAACATTAGGAACTCATACATTAAAAAATATATTAAAATCTATCTAGTTTTACCTATTATATGTCAAGGGATTATTTAGATTTAAATCCTTTATAAGCAATACTAATGTAACTATAATTTATACACTCATAAACTCAGTCCCCGTTATCATTTATTATGCATTTAGGATGGACATACAATAACAACAAATGGTTTGATTTACATTAGAATTTTTATTGGTAAGTATCATTCTTTTATAGATAAAAATAAAATAAATAACATTAAAAACCGTTCGACTTTTATCGATTCACTCCATATCTCACATTTTAGACAGCCTTATCTAAGAAGATTTTCTACGCGAGAGTGGTATTCAATAAAGATTTAGTGTAGGAAGCAGGTAATCGGTTTAAACTCCATTTCACTTTAACCTGTAATTTGTCATTGCCGTAGTAATTCTACAGTTGCTACCTATTAACTTGGCCAAAGACAAATTGACGTTTAGAGTTTGAGCCGTTGCGGCGAATTCATCATTTTATTGCGACAAAACATTACTACCGTCAATTTGTTTTGTTAATTACTGCTGTAACAACAGATAAATATCAATTCGAACAACTATTCATTAGCATAGCGTAAATAATGGCACAATAATATATAATAAAGTCTCGATAAGTTTGGTAGCCCAGTGGTAACGCGCTCGCTTGGGAAACCGAGTGAAGCGGGTTCAAATTCCGGGTCTCGCACCTCTGACATTTTCATGTGCGAATCATTTCTAACATGATTACCACTTGCCTTACGGTAAAGGAAACATCGTGAGAAAACCTGCATGTCTAAGAGAACCTAGCAAGGTTTTGAAAGACATGTGAAGTCCGCCAATCCGCACTTGGCCAGCGTGGTGGACTATGGCCTGATCCCCCTCGTATGAAGGGAGGCCCGTGCCCAGCAGTGGGACGTTAAAAGGGCTGAATACAAGTTTAAACGGCTACAAGTTTGATATTTGTCGGGTAGATTCCTAATAGGGTATCCGACAAGAAAGTATTTTTGGAAATTATACCCCTAAAGGGTTAAAAATGTGGATTTAAATATATATATATATATATATATATATATATATATATATATATATATATACACCTTTCTGCTTTTATTATTTTTATATAATTTTCATTTTCTGTTTATATACGAAACAAAGATGGAAACACGGAATCGTTTTTCCTGTTGCAATAGAAATAATTTGTATTGGTAATATAAAATGTAAAATTAAACCCAAAAATTTAATAACACATTATACTAACATACGAGGCTACAGTTGTATTTGATTTAGTGTCAAAAACATAAGATTAATTCGAAACAAGTTTAGAGATTTTCCAATTGAAAATCTTTATAAACTCACAAATTGTGTAATATCAAGGTTCTGCCAGTGCTTTTCATTCTACTTACCAACTACAGGAAATTATTTGCTCTTTGAACGCATGTGTTAGTTAAGTATTTATTCGTAATGTTTTTTGTTTATGTATAGTATAACACGTGACGTTAGGCAATTTTGGAACACTCTAAGGCCAGTTTAGACTAAGACAGTATACATTGAGTGTACCGTGTATAGATAGTGTTTAGACTGAGCCGGCCTTGGTACTTTACTAGTCCCTTTATATCCAGTGCAATTATTCACCTATAGGATTTTTTTTAATTTCGCCAAAAAGAAGCTTAATACACCAACTGGCCCCATCCATTGCTGCTTAAAACAAAGTCAAACCTCTAACATAGAATATAAAAAATAATTAACATTTAAATTCTTACGTAATTCAAAAAATAAATTTCTATTTATAAAGTAGAGTACATATATGCATCAGATGATATGTTTAAAAAGTTAGCGAAATATATGCACACCTAAGTTTTCTATATAAAAGCATACCTAATGTTTACAGACGTTTAAATCTTATCGCGCACAAATAGACGGGAATGCTAAATATGGTTATAGTTTAGTTGCTTAATATTATTAAATTAAACGTGTTTGAACACAAATTAGTCCTTAGCCTTATAATTTAGGAAGTCACTATTAATCCAGTTACTGTACGATTAATATATAATTACTAGCATAACCGCCTTCAATCTACAAAAAAAAATCTTTGGCTTTATGTTATACAGCGATTCACCTCTATTTGCTCGAGTTCGTCTTATATACATATTTATATAATATACATAATATTGTTCATACAAAAACTAAAATTGCGATACAAAAGGGAGGTGGGGGTACGAAGGTGAAAATTTTTTACGACCTATTCTAATACCTACCAAATATACAAAAAAAATATCATTCAAATCGGTAGAGCCGTTTCAGAGGAGTGTGACCATAAACACAGTGACACGAGATTTTTATATATTAGAAGATTTGTCCAGCTACTTTATTTTGTTTTTTTTTAATTTAAAGTATCTGGATAAAAGATTCTTTATTTGTAAGTTTTAATTTTCGATTATGTGACAGACGCGACTTGGATAACGTAGATTGAAAAGACTAACGAGAAAGCAAAGGCGGGAGCTATGCTACGGTTAAGTCCCACCTTAGCTTTCTCGTTAGGTCTTTTTATTATTTCAAACCCAGAACCCCCAATATCGTAATTGCGTTATATTATTTTAGATTTGTGACAGTTTCGACTCGAAAATTATTTACTATATAATTAGTGTCGGATAGTATCAGAAGAATTGAAAGTGTCAAATGTATACTTTTTTGACGATACGCTCCAATTTTTGAAACAATGAGAACAAGCTAAATATGTATATATATATTTTGTGTCTCTTCAAACCTCTAAATTAAAGGTGCCAGTTCTATATTCGTAAATACTAAATACCCTTACTTTAACTCTTATTCTCATTGTTAAGCAAAAATATAAAAAAAAAATTTTTTTGTAATTAAAAGCCGGGCAAATAAAAATAATATTAGTCATACAGTAACCGTATTCATAATAATAAATTATTCGTACAGTTACTGTACAAAAGGTTCAGTCTATAATTTAGCCGTATAAATACGAAAGATTTGTTCGTTTGTAGTCAATAAACGGAAACCCCCTAACCAATTTCAATAATTCTTTTACACATTCATTCACATTATCCCGGAGTGTTACATCACTCTATAAATTATTTATTATGTGATTTAGCATAGCATATATTTTATTGTGATTTAGCATAGCCGACTATTTGACTTCGTAGACAAAAACCGTGACGGTTTTTGTCTACGAAGTCAGAATGGTATTAGTCTTTAATAGGTCTAAAAAAATCCTGCGAAATCCCATATCTAACTTTTATATTTTAGCAGATATATTTAAGGTATTTAAACTACTTAATACTAATCATTATAATAAAAATTTTCATCGTCACTAGACACTAGTACATAGAGTTAAAATTAGCAATTTGTAATCTATACATATAATAAAATTGTAACTAAGCCGAATCCGTACATTACTTAAATATTTTTTGGAAACTCTTATTGAAATAGACATTATTATCGATACAGAGGCCGAATCTATAGTTTTTAGAATTTTTGTCTGTCTGTCTGTTACCGCATCACGAGAAAACGACTAGACAGATTTTGATGAAATTTGGTATGATGATAGCTTATCCGGGTCTACATATTACTGCGGGAAAATATCGCATCTCTGAGAAATCTATACTAAACATTAAAACGTAAGCAGGGACGAACTCGAGCAAAGCGAGGGTGAGTCGCTAGTTTGATTATATAGTTTAATGAAAATGATAATGAAAAATGGATAAATCGCGACTTGCGCAATAATATATCTAGTCATATATTTTTTTCTAATAACTATACAGTATTTAATTAAAGAATTGAATACATAAAAAATCATACGCTGGACTCGTTAAAGCCGTCACGACTTAAATATACACACACAATTTAAATAAATTTTATTAGTTGAATCTAAAACATTTTATATTGATTTGAACTAATAGAGTTACAATCGCTATAAACAATGTTAAAAATTTTGTGTATCAACGTCATACAGACTAGTCAGAATTTAGATGCATGCATAACAAAAGTCACGTAGAAATTAAAAATAAAACACATTTATGTTTGTCCTTAGAAGGAGCTATGGCGATGAGTGCATTCACACTGCATTCGAAACAGGCTAATTGCCCTTGCAATTAACTCAAGAAATATGAAGGAACAAATAACGGTTTCAAATCGGTACGACCCTAATCATTGAGAAGCTATCGCGTATTTGTTTAGTTTTAATTAGTGTCGACCGTATGGTACAGTGGTGTTGTAGCAGGTTATATATTTATGCGTAGCATATTACGAGTTCGATTGACATGATCTACATGAGTATAATAATAATGATGATGAAACACTTAGTTGGACTTAGAGAAACAGAGACCTCCACAAAAAATATAAACACAAAATACAATATGATGTTTTTTCCATTTCATAGCATTAGAAGGGATAAATAATTAAAAAATAGTCAAAAATTTGAAATGAGGTCGTCTCACACATTTCTGCTTACTGGATGAAAAAAGGGTTTGCAATAAATATATTACTTATAAACAAAC